CGAAATTAAAAACTCGATAGATAGGCAAAAATTTGGTGAGAATTCTGAAGAGCAGAGAAGTAAATTTCTGTCACTGAGAAGGAAGATAGGGAAAAGGCAAAAATTTGGTAAAAATTCTGAAGAGCAGAGAAGTAGATTTCAATCACTGAGAAGAAAGATAGGAAAAAGGCAAAAATTTGGTAAATCATTGACGAGCAACCTCTTTTACAGCGCAGCGAAATTAAAAACTCGATAGATAGGCAAAAATTTGGTAAAAATTCTGAAGAACAGAAACGTAGATTTCTATCACTGAGAAGAAAGATAGGAAAAAGGCAAAAATTTGGTAAATCAATGACGAGCAACCTCTTTTACAGTGCAGCGAAATTAAAAACTCGATAGATAGGCAAAAATTTTGTGAGAATTCTGAAGAGCAGAAAGGCAAATTTCTGTCACTGAGAAGAAAGATAGGGAAAAGGCAAAAATTTGGTAAAAATTCTGAAGAGCAGAGAAGTAGATTTCAATCACTGAGAAGAAAGATAGGAAAAAGGCAAAAATTTGGTAAATCATTGACGAGCAACCTCTTTTACAGCGCAGCGAAATTAAAAACTCGATAGATAGGCAAAAATTTGGTGAGAATTCTGAAGAGCAGAGAAGTAAATTTCTGTTACTGAGAAGGAAGATAGGGAAAAGGCAAAAATTTGGTAAAAATTCTGAAGAGCAGAGAAGTAGATTTCAATCACTGAGAAGAAAGATAGGAAAAAGGCAAAAATTTGATAAATCAGTGACGAGCAACCTCTTTTACAGCGCAGCGAAATTAAAAACTCGATAAATAGGCAAAAATTTGGTGAGAATTCTGAAGAGCAGAGAAGTAAATTTCTGTTACTGAGAAGGAAGATAGGGAAAAGGCAAAAATTTGGTAAAAATTCTGAAGAGCAGAGAAGTAGATTTCTATCACTGAGAAGAAAGATAGGAAAAAGGCAAAAATTTGGTAAATCATTGACGAGCAACCTCTTTTACAGCGCAGTGAAATTAAAAACTCGATAGATAGGCAAAAATTTGGTAAATCAATGACGAGCAACCTCTTTTACAGCGCAGTGAAATTAAAAACTCGATAGATAGGCAAAAATTTTGTGAGAATTCTGAAGAGCAGAAAGGCAAATTTCTATCACTGAGAAGAAAGATAGGGAAAAGGCAAAAATTTGGTAAAAATTCTGAAGAGCAGAGAAGTAGATTTCTATCACTGAGAGAAAAGGTAAAAAAAGGGCAAAAATTTGGTAAATCAGCGACGAGCCTCTTTCCCAGCGCGCCAAAATTGAAAACTCAATAGACCCGATACTACCTCCCCAAAAATTCGACAAATTCCTTCTCAAACCACCCGAAAAAATCAAGACCAAATCACCGCTAAATAATCCTCGAAGGCGTTAAAAACGAGGGTCCGATAACTCCGATTTTCGGTAGTGTCGTGTTCCGGTCGATCAATCAGCGCGAGGAGGGTGCATCATCGCGTACCCATGTACGAATTACGTGGAATTAAAGTCGCGATAAAGCTCCTGGCCGGTGTTTCGGCCGAGTTTCCATTTCGATCGCATTTGCATGAGCGTTCCCCTCGTTATCTCAGCCGAACCGATCACGCAAATGGCTCTTCCGCGCCGTTCTACCGTTCTCAATCTCGGGGTTGAACGACCGGATAAAACGAAAGAAAACGCACGGAGACCAACTCTCTCTCCCTCTCTCGATCGCCGCCAGGGATCTCCGATCCGGGAATACATTGTGGCTCTCGAAATGAAATTGTCCCACCCTATCGTCCATCTGACTCCTTCCCTCTCCGTCGTGCAGTTGCTTTTTTACAAATTCTCTTTCTCCTCCTGGACACCCCTTTTTTCAAGCCTCGTCTCTCCCTCGGGGCTTAGGGACTCTTCCTAATCTTCCTTTGTCCCTTCCCTCTTGTCTTATTCTTCGAGAGTTCCACTCTCGCGACAGGGATCTTATCTGTACTTTGGTTAATTTTCTTCTGTTTTGTTTCTTTTTTTTTTTTTTTTTTTTTTTTGTTTTTTTTTTTTTTTTTTTTTTTTTTTTTTTGGAAGGTTTTGTAGTTTACAGCTGCGGTGAGGAGCTAGAGGCTCATTCGGGACTGGTTTCAATCTACCGAAGTGAAAAGTTTTCTGCGTTTTGGTGTATTCACGATGTGTGTGAAGTAATTTTCATTTGTTCCGTATCTCAACTCTTCGATATTGCAATGCGTAACACAAAAGAAGGAGTAGCCGAGAGATTCTGTAATCCTAGTGAAGCCTCCGGGTCTTTTTCGACCCACTAACTTCTTATTCTGTTAAAATTCACTGTCTATATCGTTCATCTGGCGTGCTTGGGTCTTTTTTGACCCAAGAAAGCGTCACCTAAGTGTACACTCGGACGAGAGAACGCGCTGAGATAAAGGAACCTCCAACGAGGCAGCGGTACGCGTAAGAAATTCGAGTCTTCCCGCGAAAATCCAAAAAGAAGGAAAGCGACGAAAAAATAGAGGAAGAAAGGTCGAGAGGAAATTAATCGAGGCCCCCGTTGGAATCAGCATGCGAGCCACGCGTCTCTCCCATCGCGTGACGTATTATTACGTCAGGAAGGGGTAGTCGCAGTCTCCCCGTTGGCTTTTCCGCGCGCGCTCCGACGATCTTCGCGAATTATCTCTGTCCCTCCAGGGATGGAAGAGGAGACAGGGTGGTCGGTCGTTATCTACGGCAGGCAGTTATTGCCTATTGCGCGGTGCCCAGGCAAAATAGAGAGAACAGGACTGAATAATTCCCTCGTCATCTTGCCAAGTCCTTTGTGTTTCCCTTTAAACCCCCGGAAACAGAAGTGGAAGGGGTTTGTGTGGGAAAAGGGTCGCGGGGATCAGCATCCTGCTTTGTTGGAAAACGCGATCGCGGAACCAGCTAAATTGTTTCGACTATGGACGTCGCTTCAGGGCGACTAGTATGTCTTCTATTAATCGGAGATGTAAGTGTACACCTAGGTATCCGAGAAGTATTTTCAATGTTCGATGGGTCGAAATATTTTTGCCCAAAATTTCGACCGAAATTCGTAGAAATACCGAAGATGCAGGCATTTGAAGTGAAGTATGCTCACGTGTTACCAAGTATACATATATTAGGTTGTTGCAGCTGGAATGATCGAGGTTTTACTAAAGATATCAAATTTATCAATCTACGTTATACTTTTTCTTTTCTTTATTAATCTATTTCCGGAATATAGAATTTTCAGTTGTAAGAAACGATCGCTTCAAGAACGGAAAGAAGGTAGATTCTGATTATATTTCGTGATCAGTCGTGGCTGCAAGGTAGAGTTGAACATTTTTTTTAGCGGGGAAAGTTGCTGATCGAGGAGGAAAGTTATCGTCGAGCTCGCTCGCGAGGATTTTCCAACGCGGGAACTTTCTTGCCGTTAAAGTTCGCAAGTTAAATTACTGGAAAAGCTAGAAGTCTATCTTCTTAACAATGCCTCCTATACCCGAGCAACGGGACGCTCAGCACTGGCTGCCTCGAGTCTCGATCCTCCCTTCGACGTGGCAATTTTCGTGCATTCTATAATAAAAATCGCGATCTCTCTTCTTTTATTTTTCCTAAATACGCGTTTCACCCACGTTTCCCTATTTTTCATCCGGCGTCGCTGCAACAAAGGGAAAAATTCGCCGCGCTCGCGCAAAACACGGTGTTTCACGCGCCGCTGTTTACCTAACGCGCGATCAATTAAACAGCGCGCGAAATTCCGCCTCTCTCGCCTTTCCCTCGGCGAAAAGTAGCGCGGCTAAATGGCGCGCGTTCAAACGGCTCGTTGTTTAAACCGTGATCGCGGAAAAATGACAACGGGAGGGAGGAAGGGGCAAGTAGACGCTCCTTGAATCACGGTGGACATCTGCTGAATCACGGTGAAACGGGGTGCTGGGTGGAAAGGGTGGAGAAGGGGGACGAAGAAAGGAAAACTGATTAAATTAAAAAACGTCCACGAGGCCGTTTCGGTGGATTCGTTGGCGCGTGGATTGAATTTCCTAAATTCATTAAAGGGTAATCACCTGGAGCCCGGGCAGAAATCTGCTGCACGCGATCGCGTTAATTAAGCATCGCGTTCGGGACGTCGACTTAATTGTGATCAGCCGAGACTGCGAAAATTTCTAAGCACTTGGTGAATTACTTAGCCAACTACTGGGTGGTCCATTTGAGAAATGAATAACTTATTTTCTGCTAGGTATGTGTCTTAAAATTTTTCCTTCAGATCTTGAAAATTCCTTATGGAAACATTGACGACAGAGAAACTTCTATTTTCCGTACCTCGTCGTGTAAATGAACTACTAGGTGGTCCATAAGTCTGCATCATCTGAGAATCGAATAACTTATTTTCTACTGTGTAGGTACGTGTCTTGAATTTCTTGTTTCCGACTTTGAAAAGGCAAATACGAATAATTCAATTCTTGAACGGCAAAGATTAGACACACTTTTTGTGAAGCTGAAATTTTCAAGTCGAACGTCGAAGAAAATCACGATCGAAAATTCAAGCAAATTTAAAAAATAAAAGGTACGTCCGATTCTTGAATAGTGTCTCCGTATATTTGTATACAGCTAAAATCTCGAGTTAAACGTCCAAGAAAATCCAAGCAAATTTTTACCCAAATTTCATGAACACCCTTCACACATCGATCACGAAGACACGTCTCGGCATAAAATGATCGAAACTATATTCCCCGTCGAGACACCGAGAAACAAACTTCACCGGGCGAAACTAAATCCCGGAAACTTGACGAAACTACGAAAAAGCCTCTCGGAAAATCTACACAAAGAATCACCGTGTAAACTTTTCCTCGAACCGAATTTATTCATGCTTCTCCATTCGAACTACCGAAAACGAAATCCTTCGAGTACCGCGAGAAGAACGTGTAGCCGGGAGGGAAGGGAAGAAGGAGAGGACGGAGAAGTAGTTTTACCTGAAAGTAGAGAGAGAGAGAGAAGGAAAAAAGTTTGTCCGTGTTGTTTCAGAAACGTGGAGGATTACGCGAGGGAGCACGAGGAGGCGTCGCGAAACATTCAGCAATACCTGTCGAATCCAATCAACGCTTATCTGCTGGTGAAACGACTGACCACTGACTGGAAACGTGTGGAAGAGCTGATCACCCAGGACGTGGGCAAGTCTTTCGTCGCGAATATCACCAACTCGAGGAGCGACCTTAAATTCCCAACTGACGAGGACCTTAATGGCGCGGCTGTCGCCTTGATGAGGCTCCAGGACACGTACAAACTCGAGACCGCACAGGTCGCCAGGGGCGTGCTCAACGGGGTCCAGTACAGCACAGGATTAAGCGGTTCGTATACACGCATGTACGCTTTTTTCGTCTTGGCTTTTATTCAGAAACGAGCGGGTTCTTTGACGAATTCTTTATCGCGTGGAAAGTCTCTTAAGCTCTTTAGAAACACTGGCACGTGTGTGTTTGGGTTTTTTGAAAATTTCAGTGTTTTTGATAGAGAAAATAGGAGAACATAGTGAACATAAATATCCGTTGGATTATTTCTAACAACACCCTGTGGATATAATCAAGCGAGGACAAAAATGTCTCCGCGTTATTTTAAACAAAGGCACTAAGAAGTGTCCATAAAGTAAACAGTTCGTAGGTATAATGGGACCCCGGCTTTCTTTTTGGGCGCCCAGAAACAGCCCTTTAGAAGATTCAATAGAGTAAAGACGTTTCCTCCGAGTAATAAATAGCATATTACAAAGTTTAAAGGCTATTTCTTTCCATAACCCATTTGCAATTCGTGTAATACAATCTCCTGACAAGAAAAGTAGTTCAGTTGCCATGGACTTAAAATGAATAAAATAGAACCGTATAAAAAATGAGATAATTTCTTGCAACTTTAAAAAAATCGTTCCTGAAGAGGTTAAATGTAGTAAAAAGTAGGATAAAGTTGCCTAATATGAGACCCATTTCTTAAAGAAGTCATGACTGTCGACTAAGGACACTTTTATCAAAATTCTTTTGTAAGGTACTGGAATGTACGGCAAAGAAAATTCTGTTCCTTCGTAATAAAATGAAAAGGAAAATTATGCAGATACGCAGATTTCAAAAATGAGTTCCTAATATGAGAATCCTTTTTCACACATTGGGCATATTAAATCTGTTTCTTCAGCACCGCAGACTTCGCGGGCTCGCCGGTAACACTTTGTACGCTAAACCAAAATTGGGAGGCTCTTCTTATAATAGGAACTTCCGAGGATCACACGATAGCTACTAAGTCTTCGTTATTTAAGCCTTAAACTCCGTTGCGTGCACTATACAACGGTATTTGTGAAAATGATTAGAAACTTGCTATTTTCGAGGTATTTGCAATTTAATCGAACCACTTGAAAAACTTTCTGCAACGTGTTGCACAAATATGCTTGTTGAAGACGCTCGATTGATTTCAATCAGATTTGATAATTAACGCGGTTAATTACGAAACAAAACAGCATCGCTTGGACATTCGAGAGTTCTGTAACGGAGATATGCTGGGGTCTCGTATTGGTTGATTTCAATCAGATTTGATAATTAACGCGGTTAATTACGAAACAAAACAGCATCGCTGCGACATTCGAGAGTTCTGTAACGGAGATATGCTGGGGTCTCGTATTGAGCTACTTTACCCTATATTGCACACTTTTTCAAACATACCCATACAAAGTAGATTACTATCAGCGTTTGTCGAACGAATTCTAGGTGGATGAAATATTGATAAGAATTTCATGACTCGTAGATCGCGTTGCTTATCAAGATAGAACTCAAAGCTCCTCTTCGAGGTTGGAGGCAATTTCATTCATCGCCCGCGATCCTTTCATACCGTTTCAAAAATTACCAATCTTTCAAAAGACCCGTTCACATTCAGGCCGCCCGATTTCTTACTCCGGTGCTCTCATCGCGACATCTTTCTCGCGAAACCGCGTTCCACGGGAAAACCCGGCCGCCTGCCTGCACGCTTTCAAGTCCGAGGAGAAAAGATCGGCTGAAGTTTTTCCCCGCGGCGCGACGCACGGAGAATTTTTGAAAACGCGGTTTGCTTTACAAGCGCGATTCCGAATAAACGTGGCGGCCGTTTTATCCGACGCAGCCGAAAAGAGCTCGCGAAGTGGAGCGGAGCGACGGGGAGGGGGATCTTTCGTTTGCAACGCGGAATTTCACGGAGGAGCGATAAAAGTGTACGTGGTGAAAACGCGCCCACGTGAACCAAAACTCCGGCGAAAAGTGAGGGGAAGAAAAGTTATTCATTAAAGTCTCGTTTTCCCTGCGATGTTAACTCTCGCGGAACGAATGTTCGCCTCGGCGAAATTAGGCCCCGTGATTATGTTCGTTGCGGCGAGGATTGGCCAAGTTAGCCGCGAGGTTTCTAAAACTAGCGTTTCGAACGATAGAAGGAGAGTTTGCGGTCTGACGTCGACGGAAGAATTAGCTTGGAATTTTTGAGGATTCAGTTTCTGAGATTGCTGCAAGTTGAGACGTAATTAGCGAGGTAATTTGTAACTCTAATGGGACTTGATTGGCTTAGAAATGTCCCTGTGACTGTGAATCGTAGCTAAAGTGTGTCTCTTGGAAAAATTTGAAAAATCGAGATTTCAAAAATTTCACAACTTTCCACCGCTCTGCTAAGAAAGAGAATAAACTAACTAAATTCCACCCTCATCCTCGTAAATTCATCCTTCAAAAATTTAAGCGCGTCTCCAATTAAACTGATCAATAGAGAATAAATGAAATGAAATTCAGTTTCACCACTGTGACAACCCAGTTTCACTTCGCAACCATATATCTTCATTTGCGCAGTCCTCAACCCGTTGGTTACACAGAATTTTCCAACCGAATCCGATAAATACAATAATCCACGTGTCCATTCTCCGGCTGATAAAGAATTAATTCTGTAAAAGCAACGACAATTAACAAACATTTACCCGGAGCAAACAGCTTTCCAATCGCCCCGGTCGAAACGTAAAGAGCGAATTCTACACCAGGACCAAATTTACCCGCCGTTCAAATTGAAAAAGAAACTTCTCACAGTCGATCGAGAGCAATCTATTCCCGGCTAATAAAACACTCGAATGCCCCGAAAGGTCGGACATTGCGGGTCTAAATGATTCATTACGGACCATCCACGCCTCGTTATCGCATTAGTCCGGAGGCAGGGCGGATAAAAAGGTCGGAGGAAAAAGAAGGAGTGTGGAGTAGCGAAAAGCTTGGTCCCTTCTTCCGTGGTGAATTATTTATTCGAAGGGACAGGAGGAGGAGGAGGGGAAATACGCGAGCGAATCGACAGGAATATTGGCCCCCCGATGTTACCTGTACTTAACGATCGCCGACATGAATAATTTACGCGATCTCCTTTATCAGCAACCTGTCCTCGTTTCCGGACCAAATTCGCCACATCTGACGTTTCTTTCTACCTTCCGTTCACCGGAAGGTATTAGGGGAGCTTTCGCTTCTTACCGCGACAACGAAGTGATTTTTTCCTCGACACCAGACAACCACCGTTTTCCTGCATCATTTAGAACCCACCGCGGGGAGTTCGATGAATATTGAATGGCTAATGGAGAATGATCCTCTGCTCTTACGTTCTCTTCCTTCTTTCAGCCTTTTTTTTACAATTCGGTTTTTCAGAGAGATTTTCTTTTGGAAAGTAAGGGAGGCTGTTTGCGACGAGTGTGAACCGAGTTAAGTTCGGTTCTGTGTTTGGCTGTTTTTAACCCCTTGACATACACTACCGGCCAAAAGTTTGGAATCACTATGCATTGCAAGTTACACAAAAGTTCGCAGAAAAACGTCAGCAGCTTTAACCCTTTCGCGACGGCGGAACTAGCCATCGGTACGCCACTAACCCGTACGCGTTAAGAGTGTCCCGCGTTTTTTCAAATCTTAGAGGATTTCGTTGGAACAACAGAGGACTTAAGGGTGTACTGGATAAAGGGAATGTTGTCGAGGCCTTGTTCTGTATTTTAAAATAAATCTTCACTTTGAGTTGTCGAGGCGCGAGCCAATGCGATGCGCTTAGTGGATGCCGGATATAACCGGCGTTAGCCAGTGTGAAGCATTTAGTGGATGCCGGATATAACCGGCGCTAGTCGCGAAAGGGTTAATAAATATAACAAAAGAAAAGAGAGGGGATGAGCCTGAGTGGGATACCGATATATCGAGTGTCAGTTGTTCACGTTCAGGAGTCGATGTCGAATTACAGTAGTGCACACATAAGCGTCCGCAGTCGGGACTGAACGGCGACTTCTGCGAATTTAACTAAGGAAAGAGAGGAGACGAGCCTGAGTGGGATACCGATATATCGAGTGTCAGTCGGACTCCACTCCAAAGTCCCGTTTCCAAGGATTGCTGGGGACAGCGACGGACGCTTAAGTGTGCAAAAATGCGAGCGCTTACGCGTGCACTACTGCACTGTGCTCGTTTGAATCAATGGTTTCGTCTCTCGATAGTAACTCGAAATACAGGCCACATCGTGAAGACTATAAAATAATATTTATCAGTATCGTACCTTTTCTTCAAATTGACGAAATTTAAAAAGAGGCGTATAATTTATATTACCGTTAGTTTGTCGAATTTAACGAACCCCCGAGCGAAAACTTAAACTCCACCACTCGCGGAGTCGATTCACGTCAGACTCAATTAGCCGCGCAGCAGGCGTTAAGACTAATTCAATCCGAGTGATTCGGTGAAAATGTTCGGAACACAAGGAAACACAGAGAAAAGAGGGAATTTCCCGTAGCTAGATTAAATTATAAACGAGTAACTCCGCGCTTTATGCGAGCCCATAAACGATTCCAGAAGAAGGAAACACCGTTCGCGATTCACCTCCTTTACGATTCAATTTCGAACTTCGTTATAGTCGCGTAAACCTCTCGCCTATCTTTCCCGCTTTTTATCCCACACCTCGTTCCAGCGAGCGCAACTCCCTTATTCAGTTATGTGATCAAATTTCTAATTCGGAAAAACCCGTTCGAACGACCGCGACAAAATTCTGCAATTCCCCGGAAACGTCCAGATTGAGATTAATCCGACCCGACAAATGTTGTATTCAAAAGAAGAGAGATTAATTTCAAGGTAGATAGAGAGTAATCGATCCGGCAAATTTTATATTTAAAAAAGAGAGAAAAATAGAAGAGAAATTAATTTCAAGGTACGTCTACACAAAGTTCGAGATCTCCGTTCGATCTGTGAAAAATCTGAGGAAGGAAGCACAGTTCGCTCTCTCTTTTTTTTTCAATTTTAACTTTCAGATTTTCCAACCATCCACCGCTGTTATTACGAATGTAATTATGATAATAGAGTCATGAATTATACAGGGTGAGCATGGAGTCACGGGACAATCAGGAAACGGAATGACTCCGAGTCGACGGAGAAATAAGTCGAAATCGCCGGGAATAAATTCTCTTGCCGACGTGGATTTTTGCTTCCTTTTCTCTCTCTCTCGAGAGAGAGAAAATAATGTAAAACCGTGAAATTTCGACAAACCGGTGAATTTTTCTGGGACACGGTGAAATTGCAAGAGAAAGAGCTTGATGAAAAGCTTTGCGTAGATTTTTGTCAACATTGCATGTTTGCACTGTGTAGAAAGCACTGTTTACTGATTTAACTAAAGTTCCACGATTTTCGGTCTTTTTTGGTTATCGTTCTTTTTTTCTATTTTCTGCAGCTAGCGATTGTTTCGAGCTTGGTCGACAGTCTTATCACAACCGTGATTACTACCACACGGTTCTGTGGATGCAAGAAGCCATGGATCGCCTTCAGGAGGAACAAAACGCGACCACTACCTCGAAGCCGGATATATTGGAATATTTGGCGTTCTCTACGTACATGCAGGGTACGTATATTTCGAAAGAAGATAGCACTCTGAAATCTCCAACTGATAATTACCGATATTGACGAAACTTATATGTATAACAGTCCTCGAAAAAATATTTCACACGTCCTCTTTTTATTGCCGCTGATCCACACTGAAGGTGTGAAAATCGCCCTCGAATATTAGGGTAAAAAACACATTTTATTTCTCAAATTTTGTCGTTGAAAAATTTAAAACTCGTCTCTGATAATTTTCAAGATGTTACACTAAGATTTTCACCCCTTCGCTGTGACAAATTGCTAATAAGGAGAAAAACGTATGTAGGGATGACCGAGCGTGAGTGCGTTGTTTGTATGAATGCGTTGTCTGTGTGAATGCGTGAGGATCTATGACCGGAGCGGTAAGGACCGGCGTGCCAGGTCGAGTGTTTGGGATAGCGCGAAAGATATTGAACGAATGTTTAGTTTTAGTAATCAGGCGAGGAGTGCATGAGTGCGTGTGTGTTTTCTTCTACGGAAAAGTGTGCATGTATGCAAGATGACATTAGGGCGAATGCGAGGGAGCGAAAGGCAATATGAATCCAGCGATTGATTGAGCGACATCCTTAGCGTAGCGATATGAACTATTAATAAATATAGCATAGTCAAAAGTCCGTTCGAGTTTACTATCCCTCCTCACATAAATCCCCTACACGTATGAATATTTTTCTATCAAATATTCGAATATCAAGAAACTGGTAAAATCTGCATAAAAACTTTCACGAAACGAATAATCCTGTACAAATAAACTCGCCGATTAGCAACAAGAGGAGCTTGGAAAACTCGGGATTTAACGTTGGTGAAATTAATTTGAAACAGCGTGAAAGGTATTTGTAAAAGAAGCAGATTTAATTGCCGTCAAATTCTCCGTCACGAGTGAACCGACCCAACTTCCAACCGGTTAGTTTGTTTAAAGCTTCATTAAAACTTCGTCAAATGTATTATACCGCATTTATTCCATCTCTCTCTCTCTCACTGTTGAATTCGATCTTTGAAAATGATGACGTTAACCCCTTTCGCACGGCGAAATCGTCCAATAAAACCAGAAGTGGTTCGTTAAACAACAAGAAACTTAGGTCGGACTTTGCAACAGGAATTTAATATCGTCTGCGCAGAGTGGAGTGTGTAAATAGCGTTGCTCGAATTTCCAACGATGAAATTTATTTGTTCCCCATTGTTCACCAGGGAACGTGGCGCGAGCATTAAGCATGACGAACGAGCTACTAGAACTGGTACCGACCCACGAGCGAGCTTTGGGCAACCGTGCTTACTACCAGAAGGAGATCCAGAGCAAGGCGAGCCAGTCGAAGAAGAAACGCGGCGAGGACGGCCAGGACGACACCGCTGTTCCTGCGCAAGTAAGATAATGACGCTACGTGAAACGCTCCAGAGTTCTCGTATTACGCGACGGTGTGGGTTAGAGTGTGATTTTGCTGTACCGGATGATTCATTTATGGGGAAACACCCTATCGATGAATCTCCATTGAGATCGGCTGTTACACGGTGGTACGAGTCGATTTTCTTCGACTGACCTGATCTGTTTATGGAGATCTATGCTGTTATCGGGACGTGGGTGGTGAAGTGGGAGAAAGAGATTATTTTCGGGGTAATTCTCGTTCTGTATAATCTTATATGACTCGGTAATTAAAATTTTTTGAATAGGGGATATTGGGATGTGAAGATTTATTTTACGTAGGTGGTACAATGGAGGAAAGAAAGATTATCTTCCGGGTAATTCTCGTTCTGTATTACCTTAGATGACTCAATAATTAAAATTTTCTAATTAGGGAAATGATATTGGGATGTGAAGATTTATTTTACGTAGATGGTATAGTGGGGAATAGAAAGATTATCTCCGGGATAATTCTCGTTCTATATTACCTTAGACGACTCAGTAATTAAAATTTTTTGAATAGGGAAATGATATTGGGATGTGAAGATTTATTTTACGTAGATGGTATAGTGGGGGAAAGAAAGATTATCTCCGGGATAATTCTCGTTCTATATTACCTTAGATGACTCAGTAATTAAAATTTTTTGAATAGGGAAATGATATTGGGATGTGAAGATTTATTTTACGTAAATGGTACAGTGGAGGAAAGAAAGATTATCTTCGGGGTAATTCTCGTTCTATATTACCTTAGATGACTCAGTAATTAAAATTTTTTGAATAGGGAAATAATATTGGGATGTGAAGATTTATTTTACGTAGGTGGTACAATGGAGGAAAGAAAGATTATCTCCGGGATAATTCTCGTTCTGTATTATCTTCAGAATATAATTGGATGACTTAGTAATTAAAATTTTTTGAATGGAGAAATGATATTGGGATATGAAGATTTATTTTATAATACGTAAATGGTATTGTGGAGGAAAGAAAGATAATCTTCGGGGTAATTTTCGTTCAATATCAGCATCTTAAGACTATAACTATATAGATAACTGAAGAATTGAAATTTATTGATCGAGGAAATGTAAAAAAGCACTCTACACACCGTCACCAGTTTACAGTGGAGGTTGCACAATCGAAAAATAAGATTTTCCAAGAAAAATATTTGAATACCGAATTTTTAGAAATATCTGCTTTTATATTGACATACTTTCAAAGTAAAAATCACGAAGAAATGTATTGTCTTCCTCCTCGGTATTGAAATGCAATCTTCCTCTTAAGGTCCTCCTCTAAGTATACGTTCTTACTTAACCACAATTCACAGCTCTTATTGCAGAAAATCAATGATACCCAGTTGCACCATACTTTCTCCTATATTAAAACATTTTTCTACGGTATTAATCCTCAGCAGGACGGTGGCAAGGTAGAGCAAGTAAAAAAAAAGGAGGGATGTCTCAAGTCGGACTCAATCAAGATCTTTGGACGAGCTCAAACTTGTGACAAACCTTCGAATGTGTTTTTCTCAAAACTAATGAACATGAAGGTGACGATATGATGTTGAAATAAAGTTCAAAAAGACACCCGAAAGCCACATACTTTTATCCCCCTTATCGTTTCTTTACTGTCGTCGATTCATACACTACTCATACTTAATCCTCCACGTCTATTGTCTTCAGCATTTCACCGTAGCCGAGGAGAAGGTGAAGACGTGGGAGGAGATGTCGGAGAGGGAGCGTTACGAGATGTTGTGCCGCGGTGAGGTGCAAATCCCCCGGAAAATGCAGAAAAACCTCAAGTGCCGGTACGTAGATCGCGGAATTCCGTTCCTCAAGATCGCGCCATTCAAAGAGGAGGAGGCCTATCTGGACCCGAGGATAGTCGTCTATCATAACGTGATATACGACGAGGAGATCGAGACAATCAAGAGAATGGCGCAACCGAGGGTAATTAATATTCCCAAAAATGTCGTTTTCACAGTTGAATCTTCGTCGAAGAAGAACGAAAAAATTGGGTGTACAGTTTGTGGAAACGATATACAGCTGGGGTGGCCATAGCACGGCTCTTATGCAAATAAAATGTACGCGTGGTAAACTAAAACTGATCAGTGTCCAAAAGTGATTATTTCATTTCATTTCTTTGGAATATTCCTTCTTGAAATGCGGCTTCCAAAGGTAGTGTAGCTGGCCACCCCTGATATGCAGTAACAACGCGGGGACTAGGGACACCGATTGTCCTTGCAGATGAAAATAAAGAAAAACTGAAGTATTTGTGTTCTTCCAATGCATGAGCATACAGGGTTATTTCGGGAGAGACGGACCAGGCATGTGTTTCCTACATTATCCGCCAGATATGGAAGAGAAAACACCGAGAGCCACGCTCGATCGCTTTCCGTGAAACAAAAGAATACCGACGCGTTCCATGTAATGTAGGAAATACTTGCCTGGTCCGTCTCTCCCGGAATTACCCTGTTTATAAGGTGTTTTAACTATAAAACCAGCTCAGTATTCTCAGTCCCCACATATTGCTGTTAAAATAATAATAAACGAAGTATCTCATGTTTGAAGGTCTACTGAGAAAGAATGTTTCCCCAGAGAAGGATGGAATATGAAAAAACAGCGAGAGACTGATTTGTTGTTGTTGCGTAGCTATAGGACTATACCTATAACGCGTCTTATTACGATAAAAATAAACGTAGGATGCAATAAAACGGAATTGTAGCAAATAATCTAATTAGTAATGCGTGGGCTCTCCTCCGTTTTCAATTAGCTCGATTATTCCATTGTGTACGTATATATAGATATATACGTGTTACGTAATTACACTAATCACGCGCGTGTATTTACATACCGTGAAGCTGTAGTTACGTAGCTCGCAGGGAAACGCTGGTAGCTTGATTTTTCTTCCAAGTTGGGCTGTTCGTTGTGTACTTGAATTCGGTGAACCTCTTCTTGTACGCAGCGGTAATTTGCTAACGAGTATGCTAACTATGCTAACGAATAAGCTAAATAAGCTAACTATGTAAATCGATTGGAAATCTGCGTATAATCGAAACTAAATACGGTGTTCAGGGGAGCACTGAATTTTATAGGAGAATGTGATCGTATAAGCGTCGTTCGTCGAGGCACTCGTTCGGTAGCGTCGTAAACACTGACTGAGGGCATATCGTCCTGTGGAATTTCTGCTCGCTGTACGAGCGCTGCTAGCTTCGGAATAAACCTCGGGGTGAGTCACCCTGGACGTAGGCTTGGTCTAAACCTCTTGTCTTCATAACATCGCGTGAGATTCGAGAGATTTTTTTCGTGCCGAACATAAGAAACGCGAGGAAGGGTCGATGTATGGACTTTGGGACAAACATAGAGATAGATGTTTATTTGAGAGTGAAAGTATGGCGAGTTGCTCTCGAGAGTATTTCTCGCGAGTGGACATTGTATCTGAGAGTGACTGTCTGAGAGTATCGATCAATTGCGTGAGAGTAAACCTATCGCGAGTTATTCTCGAGAGTAAATCTCTATCACGAGTTACTCTCGAGAGTACATCTCGCGAGCGGAGACACTGCGTCGGAGAGCATCACTCAACTCTCTGAGAGTAAACCTATCGCGAGTTATTCTCGAGAGTAAATCTATCACGAGTTACTCTCGAGAGTATTTCTCGCGAAGGGACACTGCGTCTGAGAGTGACTGTATGAGAGTATCGATCAGTTGCGTGAGAGTAAACCTATCGCGAGTTATTCTCGAGAGTAAATCTATCACGAGTTACTCTCGAGAGTACATCTCGCGAGCGGAGACACTGCGTCGGAGAGCATCACTCAACTCTCTGAGAGTAAACCTATCGCGAGTTATTCTCGAGAGTACATCTCGCGAGCGGACGCTGCGTTTGAGAGTGACTGTCGGAGGGCATCACTTAACTCTCTGAGAGTAAACCTATCGCGAGTTATTCTCGAGAGTATATCTCGCGAGCGGAGACACTGCGTCGGAGAGTGACTGTCGGAGAGCATCACTCAACTCTCTGAGAGTAAACCTATCGCGTGTTGCTCTCGAGAGTATTTCTCGCGAAGGGACACTGCGTCTGAGAGTGACTGTATGAGAGTATCGATCAGTTGGATGAGAGTAAACCTATCGCGAGTTATTCTCGAGAGTAAATCTCTATCACGAGTTACTCTCGAGAGTACATGTCGCGAGCGGAGACACTGCGTCGGAGAGCATCACTCAACTCTCTGAGAGTAAACCTATCGCGAGTTATTCTCGAGAGTATATCTCGCGAGCGGGACACTACGTCGGAGAGTGACTGTCGGAGAGCATCACTCAACTCTCTGAGAGTAAACCTATCGCGAGTTACTCTCGAGAGTATTTCTCGCGAAGGGACACTGCGTCTGAGAGTGACTGTATGAGAGTATCGATCAGTTGGATGAGAGTAAACCTATCGCGAGTTATTCTCGAGAGTAAATCTATCACGAGTTACGATAAGTGTGCCTGAGAGTGACTATCTGATAGCATCGCTCAACTATCTAAGAGTTTATCTATCGCGACTTGCCCTCGAATGGATACAAAATCATATTACTGTCAAACAGTTGCTTTGCAAACGCGAAACAGTCGTATTCCTGAGAGAACTTTCGTACGAGTAAAATGAATTTCGAAAAAGCTATAAATGCAACTAATCAACTGATATTCCTAAACAACAAAAATACTGGGCGTAGCCATAAACTCAAATATAATTTCAATATGATTTAATTTAAGAAAATAATTAAAATTGCAATCTGAGAATATTGGGAGATATTGAATACTTGGAATTGGTTCTTGCAATATATTTAAAAAAATTCCTGTGCCTTAATCTTTAACAGCTGTAAATTAATTTTTACCAATATTATTATTAATTACTATTGAGAAAAGGTGAGAGAAGTTTAATACTGTAAATTAATTCACCAATGATGTTTGACCCTGCTTCGGTGCTTTAATTTACAACCTCGTTATATCGTTTCCACCAGCTATACTTCATTGAAATTACCATGAAGTTTCACATAAATTTCGCTAAAAATGATCACGTTTAATATTGTTCCAATTTTTTAAAATTTTAATTACAGTTCAAACGTGCCACGGTGCAGAACTACAAAACCGGTGCCTTAGAGATAGCGAATTATAGGATTAGTAAGAGCGCTTGGCTGCAAGAGCACGAGCACAAGCACGTGGCTGCGGTTAGCAGACGCGTGGAGCACATGACGAGCATGACAGTCGATACAGCGGAAGAATTGCAGGTTGTTAATTACGGTATCGGTGGTCATTATGAACCACACTTTGATTTCGCCAGAGTAAGTTAGAATTTCAACTTATTTCACCCTTCGATCTTTTAAACTATCGAGAATACTTGATACAAGTGATAATTTACGTTTACAGAAAGAAGAAACAAACGCGTTCAAAAGTCTAGGAACTGGAAACCGTATTGCTACAGTTCTATATTACGTAAGTACTTCATTTGCATACAGAAAGCTTGCCAAATATCTCTAATATCATTTTCCAAAAACAAGAAATTGTCAAACTTTTTTTTGGAAAAATGTATAAAAATTAACGTGTTTATTTTAGATGAGCGACGTGGAACAAGGAGGTGGTACCGTTTTTACGGCCATTAACATCTCCCTGTGGCCCAGGAAAGGCAGCGCCGCCTTCTGGTATAATCTCAAACCAAACGGGGAGGGAGATTTCAAAACGAGGCACGCGGCATGTCCAGTACTAACCGGTTCAAAATGGGGTAAATTAGAAGAACCATTAAAGACTCGCTAAAGCTAAAAGCTAATCCTAATCAACGTACAATTTATTTATTTCATCTCAGTTGCAAACAAATGGCTACACGAGAGAGGTCAAGAATTCCACAGGCCCTGCACTCTTGAGAATCAAACGGCTGACGAGGCTGACGTGAGGCACTGAAGTAACCTATTCAATACCCGGCTCGACATTAGTGAAAATAAATAAGAAAGAGACATGTTTCAGAATCAATGTTCAACCTCTAGAACGCTCGACTCGCGAGACGCATTCACGCCGTTGTAAACAGTGCAAATACTGAACAAGGACATTGTTGTATCTATCGCGAGGTTAACTCGTGGAAATCGGAAACGTGAACGGCGATGATGTGATTTTTGTATAGGTCAAGCGACCCTTTCGAAGGCTTTAATCCCATGGTTTTAAACGATTGCAATCGTGACGAGAAAAAAAAAAAGAAAAGGAACTGCCACTGTTTGATTATATACATTCAAAGGAACTAAAGAACACCCTCGTTTTTTATCAGTTTTATTACAAAATTCGAAGAAATTGTATAGGGTAAAATAAGAGGGCAGTTTTTGAGAAAGAAAAAAAATCGTTCGTTCGAATCTACGATTAATATACTATCCTTAGACCCTAGAATTTTTACAGAAGCACACAGCATTTTAGGCGGTAGCATACATTAGAATGTCAAGCAATAACGAGTTGCACGTTTGGGCCAGTCGTTAGTTTATCCCCGAGGAAAATGAAGAGTCTTGTGGTCGTGTACGATGAACGAAATATGTTATATACCGAACACAAGATTCTAGACATTCTCGTCGCGTTTATTAAATATAACTAACATATAAGAATGAAAGAAAAAGCGGAATGAAGCATTCCTGTGTTCATCAAAGAGTATTCTAACGAAATCTTTAATCGTTCCTTCTTGTATGACACATTTCAACCCTCTTAGTTCGGGTCTTTTTGTAAATAGTAGCGATATAATCGAGAAATGTCGACGATTCCTTAGAAAAAACCGTTCGTCTTGTATACGAATCGCTTGTAAAAAAAAAAAAAAGTAACAAAAAGAAAAAGAAAATAAAACTGGAAAGGAGGCATGACAAAATGGAAGAAGAATAGAGTTTATCAACAGAGGAAGTATGTCTGTCCGCATCGTGATATTTGACCTTAGCATATAAGACGTTATTTCGCGAGCTTCGATGTCCATCATCGTCGAATTAAAAGAATCTATCGAAATTATTAAAGTAGAAGTCAAGTAATCGATTAGTATCTTACCTTAGATACCGCCATCGTTCTTCACACCTTCTCTCCTTCCCTTCAATAGTAATCCTTGTGTGCGCGTGAAATACAGAAACCGTTCTTCTATCTTGTCGACCTTAATGTTCACGTAAAAGTCACTGATATACCTAAGCACGAACAGTCGGAACCACATCGCGAATAACATTGTACAGACGACACTTGTACTTATACGAACTGGAAACATGTCTTTAAACCCGTTTTTAAATGTTTTACAGCCTTAAGTAAAAGAAACCTGACACTTTAGGCTCGAATATTGAACGCAAAAATGGCGCGTTTTGACGAAATTACTTTATACTCAATTTTTTAATGTTTTACGAAGATTTGTAGAGAAAAACTTATACGCAAGTAATGTAGAACCACTAATGCGAACAATATGCATAAAATGAACACTCGCGGCTAGATATTTTCACCAATTTCACGATTTTCCGTAGCACCGACTAATTCACACGTCTCGCGGCAAAGCTGAAACTTGAATACTAAAGAAAACCTGTCGAGACAGGCTGCGCAACGTTGCGCACAGATCGCGCACGCTGATTGGTCGGTTATTTACCGGCAGTAGCTGACAGCCAATCAGATCGCTGCATTCGCTGAAAATTGGCGCGTAAAGTTAAGGTGCGCATTAGATCGTGCAACACTGTTCAGTATCGAAAGATTCAAAAGTGTGTGAAACCGCGGTCCCTCGTCTGTCGGTTTTTCTAAAAGTTTTAACGTTCGAAGTGTAAGATTGACAGTGCACGTGATATTACTGTGACAGTTGTATAATTGACAATGATTGGTATATTGAAGTACTGTTGTATCGCTACACCTAAGGGCTATTTTCCAAGAAATTCGACAGAGGTAAAGAACGCAATGGAATTTCAGAGGCAGTATTTCAATAGCGCCAAATTCGTCATTGGTAAGCAATCTTTATTTTCCACAAGCTCGAAGCGAATTTTGGCGCGAAATATAAACGAGATTCGATGAAAATTAATTCGTATCGACGTCTGAACGATTACACGAGTGAAGGAACATCGCTAATGTAAATTTCGATCGAATAAAGTTGTTACGATTCGTTGTTATCGCACGTAAGAAACATTGTTAGATCATACGAGCTGAAGTAGCTCGTTTATTGCGATTATTTACGGTGTCGGGAAGCCACTGTATTTCCTACGTAACCTGCGTAGCTCCTAAGTTCGTTTATAACGATCGTTGCATCGTTCTACCGGTAAGCCCTAAGATAATGTCACGCAATAAACGTTTGCAAATCCCTAACAATCGGTGGTGAATGTTTAATCCGCCTAAAACTAACTCTGTAACCTTCGTAAATAATACTTATATATTCATAGTGTAGAGTTGCACGCTATTGGTTGCTGTTTCGCACGGTAACCGATGGGAAGATGCGTTATACAGGGTGATACAAAAGTTTCCTCTCTATTTATTTAACCAATCAACTATTTCACTAACGTTAAGTTCGTCCATCTTCCTAAATAGTGCTACATAGGGTGTGTCAGTGAGAAAGCATGAAAAATAAAGTAAAATGAGGAAAGTAGAGGTAGAATAAATAACAATAGACAACGAAACTTGAAGTCAAAGGTTACTTCATTGTAGGTCACCGAATATATCTCAACTCAATTTAAAAAAGAAACACACAGTGCTATTTAAAAAGTTCAAGTTCGCCTCGATATCTCCGCAAATAGAAGACACAGAAAATACAAAATGAAACCACTTTCGCTAAAGTCGATAACTAACGAGTTACAGTATATTCTCCACAAGTGTCAGACCGCAAGCAAGCTAAACCTGCCACTCGTAGAGTCAGGGACTACGTTTTCGAGCCTCGCGCCCGCCTTTGTAGTTTGCCGAACGTAGGCAAGGACAGCGAATAAAAGATAAGCATGAAACGTGAGTCGAGGCAACCAAGCGATTTAAATATCAACTTTTTTAATTTTACGTTTTTTTATCCCGAAATTTTTCTTAACATATTGATGAGATTTTTCTGATGAAAACGACATAAAACACGACATAATTTGAACAACATTTACTTATTAACACGTTCACTGTCACGCCACATTTACAGGTTGCTGTCAGGCGGCCACAAGAAAATAAATTTTAAGCATAGGATTATAGTATTATGCTTTATAATTTGTTTTTTTCAATTGAAAATAATGTCTAGCTAGCTATGACGTTCAAAATTTTTAGTTGACAACATTTATTTTATTTTAATTATTCTAAACATTTGAGGCACTCCAGTCACTGATGACCACCATGACCATATCGAGGAAACAATCTAACGTTAAAACTTATTGAGTGATTAATTTAATTTCATAATATATCGCTTTAGCGAGCCACCGTTTGGTTGCCAATTGTTTATCACATAGAGTCGGCCTACATCCACG